CCGGGCCGCGGCCTCGCCTCGCCGGACCGCCGGGCGCGGTGTGGGCGCCCGCCGCCGATGCTGTGTTTACGCTGACTGCGGCGTGGCCTGCGGCCGGACCCCTGAGCTGGACCTCAAGCGGCTCGGCGGGGGTGAGGAGAGGAATTCAGCGCGGCTCACCTGCGGTCCTCCTCCGCTCGCGCTCTGCGACGGCGACCTGCGCCGGCCGCGTACCACGGCGGCCGAGTGCGTGTCCTGAGGCTGCCGTCCTTGGGAGCGGTAGTAGGGTTGTACACCGCTCGAGCGGCGACGGGTGCGGGCACGGCTGACCTTGGGCTGCAGACCCGGGCGCGGGGTGCAGGCGCCGCCGCAGCGCCACCTCGCGGACTCTTGTGCGCGCGGGCCGTGGGCAGCGCTTCCGCCTTGTCTGCCGACTCTGACAGCCTGTCGCTGGCGATGTCGCGGCCCACCCTTGCGCCCCCCTCCCCCCGCCCACGCGCGCTCACTCACACACTCACCCCAGATGTATCAACAGCGCGTGCTTACTCAGCCCGGATACGCTGGCACGGCCGGCGCGGCCCCGGTATTCCCAGCCAGCAGGCTGTCCTCCTGCAGGGTGTCTGCTGGTGACAGCCACCGTCCTGCTCCGACTCGGCCGGGCCAACTCCGCCGCGGGCCCGCCGCTTGTTTACCGACCAACGAATGTCCCGCTTCGGGTTTGCCAGCGCAGGGCGTCTGTTACCGCTCTACTGGTGGCGTATGCTGCCTCGGCATCCTGAGTTATCACGGCTGCCAGCGGCAGTCGCGTTCGTTTCGCAAATCGGCGTCACAGGCGAGCATAAACACAAACACAGTACACAGCCAGACGACCGGGTCTGCCGCTCAGACTCACCTTACGAAGAGTCTGCCAGAAACGGATTTTTTGTTTGCGGCGTTTGCGGCACTGAAATGTGCTGCAGGAGCTATCCATTTATCTGCCAGGCTGCACAAACAGCGTTGGAGACATGTAATGTTGATAAAAAGGGCCACATGGGCACGTCCCGCGGTGCACGTTCGCCTGCTGCAAATTCTGCCCATGGCCGCTGTTCGGCAAGTGATGTTTGCTCGGCGACCCTGGCCGGCCCGTCCCGACCTCCCGCCGGCTTTTCCTGCTCGCGTTGCTGGGGCACTCGCCGCGCGCAAAAGCGCGCCAAGCGAAGGGCGGAAAAAGGCGCCAAAAGGCAAAGTGGATAACTTCCTCGAAGTTTTTGTAAACGTTGCATCGGCGAGCATTTGGCGAGACGTGGCGTCGTCCTGTTCTTGAGGCACCGGTTTCCCCTTAGTCATTGTCTGACGTCAGTGGGAGAGTCGTGCCACGGAGCTCCGTACGCCAGCCAACGGGACTGAGGCGTGGCCGACGGCTGAGGCTCAGCATCAGACTGCGAGGGCAGTGTGGCTGCCTCTCCGGGTGCCGTGGCGCCGCTCGGTTACCTGGCCTCTCCGGGTGCCGTGGCGCCGCTCGGTTACCTGGCCTCTCCGGGCGCCGTGGCGCCGCTCGGTCACCTGGCCCCGCCCGGTCACCTGGCCCCGCTCGGTCACCTGGCGCCGTCCGGTCACCTGGCGCCGCGGGCCGGGGCCTGAAGCCGGACACCCGAGAACGGTGCAGAGGGTCGTCGTCCGCAGGAGTGAGCCGGCGCTCGGTCGGCTGGCGGGTTCAGCGCGTCTCATTCGCCTTCACCGCGCGCGTCGGGTTTGCGACAATGTTGTATGGTGTGGGACCAAATACTTGTGGGGGGTCCGTTACTACTCATGTATCTTAGACCGCTGGTCTGGCCGTGATTCCCCGCCAGTGCCACATCGGCCTCCAGGGCAGGTGACTCCCCCGCCAGTGTCGCATCGGTCTCCAGGGCAGCGGACTCTCCCGCCAGCGCCACATGGGTCTCCAGGGCGAGTGACTCCTCCGCCAGTATCACATCGGTCTCCAGGGCAGGTGACTCCCCCGCCAGTACCACATCGGTCTCCAGGGCAGGTGACTCCCCCGCCAGTGCCACATCGGTCTCCAGGGCAGGTGACTCCCCCGCCAGTGCCACATTGGTCTCCAGGGCAGGTTAATCCATCGGCAGTGCCACATCGGTCTCCAGGGCAGGTTAATCCATCGGCAGTGCCACATCGGTCTCCAGGGCGAGTGACTCCTCCGCCAGTGCCGCATCAGTCTCCAGGGCAGGTGACTCCTCCGCCAGTGCCACATCGGTCTCCAGGGCGAGTGACTCCTCCGCCAGTGCCACATCGGTCTCCAGGGCAGGTGACTCCCCCGCCAGTGCCACATCGGTCTCCAGGGCAGGTTAATCCATCGGCAGTGCCACATCGGTCTCCAGGGCGAGTGACTCCTCCGCCAGTGTCACATCGGTCTCCAGGGCAGGTGACTCCCCAGCCAGTACCACATCGGTCTCCAGGGCAGGTGACTCCCCCGCCAGTGCCACATCGGTCTCCAGGGCGAGTGACTCCTCCGCCAGTGCCACATCGGTCTCCAGGGCAGGTGACTTCCCCGCCAGTACCACATCGGTCTCCAGGGCAGGTGACTCCCCCGCCAGTGCCACATCGGTCTCCGGGGCAGGTGACTCCATCGGCAGTGCCACATCGGTCTCCAGGGCGAGTGACTCCTCCGCCAGTGCCACATCAGTCTCCAGGGCCGGTGACGCCCCCGCCAGTGGCACATCGGGCTGCAGGGGGAGTGACTCCCCCCCCCCCAGTGCCACATCGGTCTCCAGGGCAGGTGACTCCATCGGCAGTGCCACATCGGTCTCCAGGGCAGGTGACTCCATCGGCAGTGCCACATCGGTCTCCAGGGCAGGTGACTCCATCGGCAGTGCCACATCGGTCTCCAGGGCAGGTGACTCCATCGGCAGTGCCACATCGGTCTCCAGGGCAGGTGACTCCATCGGCAGTGCCACATCGGTCTCCAGGGCAGGTGACTCCATCGGCAGTGCCACATCGGTCTCCAGGGCGAGTGACTCCCCCCCCCCCCCCCCCAGTGCCACATCGGTCTCCAGGGCAGGTGACTCCATCGGCAGTGCCACATCGGTCTCCAGGGCAGGTGACTCCATCGGCAGTGCCACATCGGTCTCCAGGGCGAGTGACTCCCCCCCCCCCCAGTGCCACATCGGTCTCCAGGGCAGGTGACTCCATCGGCAGTGCCACATCGGTCTCCAGGGCAGGTGACTCCATCGGCAGTGCCACATCGGTCTCCAGGGCAGGTGACTCCTCCGCCAGTGCCACATCAGTCTCCAGGGCAGGTGACTCCCCCGCCAGTGCCACATCGGTCTCCAGGGCGAGTGACTCCCCCCCCAGTGCCACATCGGTCTCCAGGGCAGGTGACTCCCCCGCCAGTGCCACATCGGTCTCCAGGGCGAGTGACTCCCCCGCCAGTGCCACATCGGTCTCCAGGGCAGGTGACTCCATCGGCAGTGCCACATCGGTCTCCAGGGCAGGTGACGGCCGCGCCAGTGCCGCATCGGTCCCCAGGGCAGGCGATTTGCATAGTTTGGCGACATTGGTCATAATTCACATGTCTCTAGTCAGGGTCGATTTGTATTTGTGTGGGCTCTGCCCCCCCCCCCCCCCCTCTCGCACAATGTTGATTTGGATCCCGATGTTGGTATTTTCATCTAATATTGTCTGTTGGAATGTCATGAGTAAAAAGTTTTGGACGGGGTTAAAAATCACACTAAGCATATCTTTTGGAGGCAATATTTGCTGGTCTTGACTATGCTGCTGAAACAAAGGACTAATCGATGAATGATACAAACGTCTGATCTGTCCTCCACCAAAAATAGAGTGGACTGAATCTATTTAGATGCGCGTATCTGGGGACGTGGTGTTTCTGGCCTTCGGGTCGGCCTCCGCGGTTCTCTACAAATCGGCGTTCCTGCCTGTCTTCTTGAGAAACCCACAGATCGCGGCTTGTGACCTCGGGTCTTGTTATTTTACTATATGGCCTCGTTCTTTGTGATTTTTTTTCTTAACTCTAGAAGCTTTGCTAAGATGTTTATTCACTGGCTATGGAAGTCTTGTTAAGGTCTTTGTTGAATGTTGCCTGTGACTGGTCAGCCCGTGTAGGCTCGGTTTGGATCCTGGGTCTTGTCAGCCGTCAACCAGGATCCGTGACACCAATTCCCTGTGTTTGTAGATCGTTCCACAACACACGAGGCCAACTGCTGTCACGAGCAGGGCTCGTTCGTCCACACGCACGCCGAAATGGCTTGGCTCGTATTGTTCTGTTTGGCTTGGCCCAGTGGGCAGCCAACATTGTCGGGAGCTGACGCCTCACCAGGCCTGGAGGCTCGCGCTCGGATTGCTCCTTTGTTGTATCGCCTTGTAAGCAATGGCGTACTTCTTTCAGCGTTTAATAAGCGCCGTCTGGCCAAACATGATGGAGCAAACCCAAATGAGGACGGAGACGAATTCTCGATGCGGGAAATCGGTGGTATCCGTCGGGATGAGACGTGTTTTAGTCGTCACCAAGTGAGGAGGACCTACGCTCAGGAGACGTATTCCCGGCAGGCCTACTCCCGGCATACCTCCCACAGCCTGATCGAGAACAGGCTTGTCCACTCGAAGATAAGCTTCGTGTTCATTATCCGATTTCAGAGATGACTTCGCATCACCAGAGCAGTAATAAGGAACGGCCCCATACGCCCGCGACTGAGAAAGCGTCCCGCCGCCCGTCTGGCGCGGGAGCGTTGTCATCGTCGCCAGATCCGACTGAGCCATCGCGATCCGCCTCGTCAGATCGTGATGGCCCCGATTCGTAGCGCCGGACCCGCCTCGCGAGGACGCGCGGACGGGAACGCAGTGCCGCGTCGGCACCTGCCGCTTTCCAGGTCAGGTGCGGCGCCACCTGACGCGACTGAGGCCCGCCACGGCCGTACTACCCGGCCTTGAACACAGAACGCGCTGCCGACAGTCGGGCCGGGCTGCGCCGGCTCCGGTTGTCGGCAGCGACGGCCGCCGGTCGTCGCGGGGCGATCGGGGCTCGCACTCACCGGCGCAGCAGCGGCGCGTCGCTCCTCCGTCGGAAACGTCGTGCACTGCTCCCGCGCGCCGCGCCCCGCGCCCTCGGTGGCACCGCCGAACTGCACTGCGCCGCGCCGGCGCCAGCCGCCGGCCGCCAGCCGCCGGCCGCCGGCCCCATGACGTCAGCGTGACGTAGGCAGGCGGCGACGGCGGCAGGCAGTGGCCCGGCGCGCGTGTTTGGAAATGCTAAAAACACAAATCAATTGTCTAGGGTTTTTTTGTCAACTAAGCCTTCATGTCCAAAAAAGCGCTTCGGCAATCGCGACATTTCACTTGGAAATTGCCAGGGACCATAAAGAGACCCTGGTAACTTGCAGTGAACTGTTGTTTCTGGTTATTGCTAAGGCTTTCTTGGAGTTATTACAGTTACCCAGCAAAGTGCAAGGAGTGGTCGCGTGCCTGGCTTCTGGATTGTGTTGGGAGCTGAAAACGTGGGGGAGGTGTTTTTCCGGAAATTGATTTGAAATTAAAAAAATGAGACTGAAAAAACGGACTCGGTTCCCTCTAAAAACTAAAAGTTGATTTATTGTTAACTTGAGCCTGTACTTGCCATCATTGCACTTATGATGGGACCATCCTCAGCTGTCCTGTTGATTAGGACTAGATACGCTTTATTCAAGATAATGCACGACTAAACTCGACTGGCACGCCAAATGCAACATCGGTGAGAAAAGAAGACGTGTCTCATCCATTGTCATAAATCGGAAAGTATTAAACTTATGATTCATTTTAAATGATGGTGCAAACTAGGGCGTTCGTCTGTCGTGCCGCTGTGAGTTTGATATTACCAATGAGAGCTTCGGATACCGCGTACCTGTGAATTTGTTGTACGAATCAGAACAGTCGGATGTTGCGCTGCTGTGAGCTTGATGGTAAAAACACTTGTCGGCTGTTGTATTGCCGCTATAGGTTGGTATAAACCGGAGCTGTTATCCGTTGCTGCGCAACCGCGAGTGTGATTTTAAAACCGAGTCTATCGGCTGTTGTGTTAACTTTTGCCGCCTACAGGTGAATGCGAGACGGGTGCGTAGTCGATGAGCACAGCATGTCGCCGGTCGGTCGGACGTCTTTGGTAAAGATGAAATCGTTTCCACCGATGTGTCGTAAGATTGTTCTTGCATTAGGAACGGCAAAAGCGATAACTAAATGCTGTGTTTTTATGGATGGAAAGCCTGGGAGTGGGGTTTTGAATAAAGCTGAGGTGGCTGAGATAACGTTCTAAGTACTATCACAATTTAAATATGTGAATTTCTCCCGGAATCGGGCAACTAACTCGGCTCGCCTAATATGACAATGTTGCCCTTTTTTCGACAAAGATCGAGGTGGAAAGGCTTAGGATGAATACAAAAATCTTGCATTTTTATTATTAGAAATCGCGAATGATATTAAGTTGAAACCGTGGCTCCACCGTACACATATTTCCCTGGATTCACCACGGACCGTTATATCGCATTGTTTCAAGCATCATTGCCGCACATAATTTCTCCGAAACAGAACTACCGGGCGGAATCTTTGGCGAATTTTGTGTCTGTCAATATAATGTGAAACCACCTGCGATTTTGCTACGGAAACATCGTATAAAGGTATCTCTGAATAGAAAAAAGTCTTGAAATAAAAAGTCCTAGGGTCTTGATTTTTGTGTTTAACATTACCAAACAGCGCGCGGCGCGGGGGCTGTCTCTGTGCTGCAACTGGCCAGCGCCGGCCAACGCCAGGTCGGCCACCGCATCCAGTAGAACACGATTTCTGCGGCGGTTGTCGTTATTTTTTCGGAATGTTTTTGTTTTTCTGGCATTATGTAATGACACTGGTCAGAACCGGTAAAAGGTCTTATGACTGGATCCCTTTCAGGTTGCGTAAAAACCTTTTGCTGTTCGTTGCCCTCAAGTGGAGGTGACATATCGGCTGTGGTGTTCGGTAGGTATCTACGTGTGTCACTGACTCACTTCGTGCACTAAAATACAGTGAAATCATTGCTCAGTGGAATGCGCCTCTGGGTATCAACCACGATGAGCCGTGATATCTTAGTTCGATACTGCGGGGAATTTACTGGATTTGACACGTTTCTGTTATTGCTATATTATAGCAATATAATTTTGTTGTATGGGTCATATGACTGGTATTGCACCCGGCATCTAGCGGCCGGCATTGCCACCGGGTGTTGCGTTGGTGGAGATCGTGACGGTTGGACGGAAGGAATGAGACCATATATTTGTATCATCAATAGAACGACTGTTCGGGCTGTCGTTCTTGACCGTACACAGCGCTTCGGCCAGTGAATTATGCGGCCGTCGTCAGTGTTATTGGGTCCTAAGAAGGACTGGATAGTGGTTGGCCTTCAGTGACACACGCGCGACACCGGACTTATTTCCTTGTACTCGCTGGGATTCGAGCCAGGGTTTTCTGATCACGAATCCAGCGCTCCACCATCTGAGCTAATCGGCAAGTTGGCCCAGTTCATGCCCTGTCCTTCCCGGTTAGCTCAACTGGTAGAGCGCTGAACTTGTGATCGGAAGATTCCGACGCGAACCCCAGCAGTTTCGAGGAGGCTGCGGCGCATGCGTGGATGAAAGCCAAACGCTATCCGGTCATTGTCAATACCCAACAAACTCTGACGACGATCGGAGAGCCGACTGACCGAAACGTCCTGTACTAACACACCAGACGAGAACAATAGTCTGAACAATTATTCCATGCCCGACATCCTGACGCTCCGCCTGCCGCCTCTTGCCTTCCGGTAGTGAAACCCGTTCTTGAGCCTCCTCGGTGCCACCGCCTCGTGCCTTCCTGTTGTGATATTCCTTCTAGAACCTCGGTGCTAAGTGCATACGTCGCATGGCACTCCTGCCCATCACCCCAAAATAGCCCGATCCATTGCTTTGTATAATTTTCCCCACGGCCTTCTCGCCAGACAGGATTGTTACATGCCGTGGATGCGACCTGTAGGTCGGATTATGCTACGAGTTTTTGCGATCACTCCGAAATGAATGACATTATTTGGTTCTATGTCACGATCAACTTTTTAAAAATATTTATGAAATAAGATATGAAGTTCTCGGCTGTTTTTTTGTTGTTGTCAGCTCTTTCTACTTTTCCTTGAAATTGAGGAGCGTTTGTACAGTAGATAACTGAATAGCGGATCGCTTGGTATGAAAAGTTTAGGTGTAGCTTGTAGGGTCGCTTACCTACGACAAGTCAAAGTCAGGCCATGGATTCAGCGAGAATAATTTCTTGGAATCGTTCAATCTGATGCAATAACGGGGTGTTAGACGATGTCTTACACGTCTGGGATAGTTTCTAAGGCAACGAAATAATTGAATGAACTAACTCCATCGACCTAGGGTCGGGCATAAAGATCAGGCCAAGGTCAAAACTAACCTGCTTTATTACTTCATAGCTTGCTGTTCGGATTAGTTTCTGGTGCTCATTTCGAACTCCTTGTTAACAGGAACCGCAATGACCCAGGTCAACATTTTGTTTTAGGAACATTCTGCCTAGCGTAATATTTAGCGGTTATTGAAACGTAAAACTGAAAGCAGTTTTGTGTGTTTTTGGTCACCATAACCTGCTAAAAGTCAATTAAGGCCACCGACCGTGAATGGTCACCAGTGACCTTTTGCTAAGGACAGGTATCTAGGTTTTGGGGTACGGTAGACACCAACCTGGTGTTTGACCTTGTTTGACCTTGTTCGAACCGAAGGTCATGACTTAGGGGCCTCAGATTTTGACGTAAGTGGTTTTGCATACAGGCTGTTACACCCTGTAAATTTGGTGTCTCTAGCTCTCTTAGTTCTAGAGATCTCAGCGGGGACCAAATTGACCCCCGTTCCCGTGCGAAGGGTACTCACCCGTCCACCCGACGCGTGTTAAGAATTGAAGACATTTTCGTGCTCAAGCATGATTTCAGGTCTCCGTTGTCTGTTTGACTTCGGCTGTGATTTGTGTGGATTGATCGAGCACAGTCAAACTGTTTCTCCACACTTGGCGCGCATATTTTTAGTCGTTGACGTCGCCGTCTGTTTAGGCGGGGGGGGGGGGGGGGATCATACCGTTCACCAAACGCCTTTTCTCGGCTACCGAAGCCCACCGTCCTGTTGTATACGCGCTTAAACGGAACACCGGCAGTTCAACTCCATCGGCAGCTGGTTAGAAATGGCTGGAGGGAGGGTCTGTGCCCCACAAATCTTCCGCATCGACTTACTGCAGCAAATGTTGCGCACCAAGCACCGATTGTCTGTCGGATGTTTCCGTTCTAAAAGCGTAACTTAATTTACTATGGGATTTTGAGCCAGGCAAGGGCGAGGAACGACACCTGGATGTTATTTCAACCGAACCATTGCGTCTTCGTCCCATAGCCTCGAAATTATTGGTGCCAGCTGAAAGAACTCAAATCCCGACCAAACCTTAAAGACGATGTTGTTTAAAACGACACAGTCCCTGAATGTGAAGGTCTTGACTATCTAGAAGATCGCCCAAATCGGTTTAAGCTGACAACCATGCGATTCCGACGATACAACGTCGGTGACCTCAATAACGACGGATGATTATAGCTGTGCGGGCTTCCAAACGGTAACACATCTGCCGAAAACGAAATCCCACTTTCACTCAATCGCTGTGACGTTCCGCCGGTATCGCTCGCTCCGCGCCACCACACCCATGGCGCACGTCCGTGCCACCGCTGCGGACGCCGCCCCGCGCGACGGCCCGCGCCTCCGTCAGAGGGCTCCGCGCAGCTGCGGCCGGCGGACACTGGGCGCGACGCGTCACGTGACGCGCAGTCTGCAGCTCCGCGGCACCCGTGACGCAGCGAGAGCAGCGGCTCGGTTATACTGTTTTCGACCGATCGATACGATCGGTGGTGGTGGCGTCAAATGGCTGTCGGTCAGCGGATGCGGCCGCACCTCGCGCCACTCCTGGTCTCGGCGCCGAATCCTCCCAGCTGCGGCGCCTTGGCGGATCCTCCCGACAGGATCAGCGAACAGGGACCGCGGAGTGAATTCCGGGTGGGCCCAGCGCTCGTCCACCGGGAAACCGGTCGGACCATGCTCGAGA